GGAACTCTTGATAACACATCTTGTCATTATCTTCCATTGCTTCCTTCATGAACATGTGTCCATTTCTTGAAGATAGGAATCATCATATACGACGTCGTTGTTTAAGATAGTAGCTCCCAGCATCGCTTACTACGATTTGACAATATGTAACTCATGTCGTGACGTCTTCCGCCAGTTGGCTAAGAAACTCCTCATTATCGACTTCTTCTTCGTCTTCAGGTCCGATAAAAGCACACAATTGAAGTTGAGATCATCAATTGTAGGAAAATGAAGATCACCAATTTTGCAATATTACAATGATCTCTACACACCGAACAAAAAATTCACCATTCATGTGTTTAACCAACGAAGTATATTCTCATTACTTAGTAACATGCTGTTTCGTTTGAGTGAAATTCAAATAATTGTACCACAATGTTTGAAAAAATAGGACGTTTGTACTTTTTTGGCATGTGATACTTTTTGTTGCTGTTAAAACGTGGTTCCCAAAAGGAAGTTGTACGTAAGAGTTGTCAATCATGACTGCACTATTTGTTACCCAGGAAAATAAATTATACATTTCAAATGATCACTCGTTAAGTTAAACCCATGCTTTAGAAAACATAATGTTCGATTCGAATGATAAAGGTACAATATCAACAAGAAGTACAGAAGAAGAAAAATGAATAAAACGAGTATTGTAGAGTTGGTTGACGCAAAAATTAATGGAGAGACTTATGACGCTCGTTAAACTGTCGTTCAATCCACTCGAACTTCTCATCTGTGTCCTGCATGACGCCAAGCATGTCTCGGTAGCGCTTCTGTGCCAGAAGCATACATGCGAAGAAGTAAAAAGGTGTGCATCGCTCGAACCTTTCTGATGCAAGCAATTCTTCCCTACATTTTTACTCGGTACCATGATGGTGTTACTCGGCATTCGACATGTGCATGTCCTCAAACAAACTGAAGCTCGTATGACATAACTTCGTGGGAGTGATTGCGTACTTGTCACCGTTGTAGCTATTGCCGAAAAGCTAACGTATTAGACGTAGATTTCACTCACGTCTTTG